GTAAGACTCAGAGACCGAGTACAGAGGCTGAGATAGCTGAGATGAGTCGAGTTCCGTATGCTTCTGTTGTTATCTCGATCATGTATGCTATGACTTTTACTCGTCCTAATGTAGCCTTTGCTTTGAGAATGGTTAGCAGATATCAGGGGAACCCTGGCATGGCTCACTGGACTGCGGTAAAGAACATTCTCAAGTACCTGCGGAGGACTAAGGACTGGGTCCTTACCCTCGGTGGGAGTGATGACTTGAGAGTAGTAGGGTATAGTGATGTTAGCTTCCAGACTGATAGGGATAATTTCTGCTCTCAGTCGGGCTGGGTCTTTACCTTAAACGGAGGAGAAATTACTTGGAAAAGTTCCAAGAAGGAGACAATGGCTGATTCAACTTGCGAATCAGAGTACATAGCAGTAAGCGAGGCAGCAAAGGAGGCAATATGGCTGAAGAACTTCATTGGAGACCTTGGTGTAGTACCAGCTATAAAGGAGCCTATGGAGATTTTCTGTGATAGTGAAAGCGCAGTTACCTTAGCCAAGGAACCAAGGGATCACGGGAGATCCAGACACAACGACAGAAAATACCATTTCATTAGACATCAAATAGAAGAAGGACTCCTCGTGGCAAAGAGGGTGTCATCGGATGAGAACCCAACAGATCCCCTCACGAAGGGACTGGGTAGGGTTAAGCATCTTCAGCATGCGAGGCACATTGGGCTAAATGATGATATTAGTTTTAGAAATTCGATAGCTTTTGAAATTTGTCAAGTGTAATTGACATTTGATGATAAAGTGTTTGCTATCTTCTGTCAATTGTTTACTATCATTTCATTTTTGCATGTTTTGACTTCCAGAATAATTATGTTATGGTATATCATATTATTCAAACCATCCACAGTCAATCATACTTTGGAAGTAGGTAATGAGGCAAGACTGTCATGAAGGGTCTGTAGTTTGTCTGGGACAATGGGGCTACAATGTTCATGAGTACTTCTGGAATAGTGATTCGAGTATTGGATTCAACCCACGCCCACTTGCGTCACTTCATGGAATTTATATCGAGTGATCGTGAGACGGTAATATCATATAAGTCTTCAAACCTAGAGATATGAGTTGTTGACTATGAGTTGGTTATACATTGATTGTACGAAAACGCATTGGTAACTCGATGTTATAGAACGTGCCTTTGTGTATGATTCAACAAGTAGTAGAACAAGCATATGAGTCGAAGTTTATCTGTTCCTTTTTAGTCCTTGGAGGATTAAAAGCGATATCTGGGCCCCTCGATGATTTTGTTTTGACATATGTACCCGGCCCGGTCAGAACTAAATTGATGTGTTCGATTAAGTTCTATGTCAAATAAATCGGAAATCGGGAAACAAACTGCTGGACAATAAGTACGACATTGTTCCATGTATTTGTCCGATTGATATCTTGACAGTAGAGGATTATATGATCACTTATCTTAAATGGCACGTCATCTTAGTTCCGCGAGACTTTGAAAGAGCTACGATTGCTGATCGGTTCCTGAAGTCATACTTACAGTTATAGTTATTAGACTTATCCAAGTGGGAGACTGTTGGATAAGGTGTCTAAGTCCATAACTATTTCTGGTATGTACTTGACCCAGTTGGCATGGTCCATTTGGGTTGCATGACATCATGATAATTGGATAGACAAAATGAGAAGAAGAACACTTATGATTTGTTTAATATATTATAAGTTATAGTATATTAATATGAAATCATATTATTTAATTAGTATTGACCAAGAGTTAATTTGGAATTAATTTTGTGATCAAAAGGAGACTAATTAGATATATGGGGTTGATTGTGTAAATCATCCATTCTTATATAGTGGGCAAATGATCCATGGTTTATTGAATTGGGCTAAAACCCATAGGGTGCTCCACGGATGGTCCATGGAGGTTAAAACCCATGGATCATGAAGGAAATGAAAAGCCATGTCAATTAAAGTTTACATGGTGTAACCCTACTTGTGACACACTATATGAAGATCCCATGGGCTACCAAAATCGGCACTAAGTGAAGAACAAGAGGGCTAGCCGATTTTGAGTGATAGTGTACTTCTCTCAAAGTTATTCCAAGAGTTGTTGTGTTGTGTGAAACATTTGAGGCATCACATTTGGGGTGCTAGGCTCACAAAGTTCTTAAGGAATCCAAGCAACAAGAAAGGTATGTTCTTCTACTAGCTTTTATGTTTCAAGTTCCCCATGCCATGCTAGTTAGGTTAAGAACCTTGGAAAAATCAAATTTGCATGTATCTTAGTAACACATGGATCCAATGTTTCTAGGGTTGCATGTACACCATAGGAGTGTTAGAATTCTCAAAATCCTTCAGTGATTGAGGTTGTATTGTTTGGGGTCTTTCTACAAAACTTAGAGGTGTGACCTCTCAAGTTACAGATGCTACACCATGCAATTTCTGACATGGTGGAAATTGCACTTGGTTTAGTGGGGGTAAATTCCCAGAGTAGGGCTTTGACGGAGGGGGAGTTTTTGTGATTGTGGTGTACACAACCACAGGTTCTGGACTGGGTTTATGATGCTTGAAGTTCACCTTTTACTTGCTATGGAACTTCCTTTTTGTACTCCTAGCCTGATTCATTTCAGTTTGTGGGGTAATGGTACCCTGACGGATACACTGCTTAGTCAATTGATAGGGAAATTTCTTAGTACTACCAAAGGTAGCGGGTCTTGATGCAGTAACCAGACCTTGAACTTCTAAAGCTAATCCCCGTATGTACCTTTTGGTCTCTTTGTATTCTGGGTTAACCATTCCCAGGAAAAGGTTTGCAAGGTCGTTAAATCGGGAGGTGTAAGCAGTCACCTCCGATCCTTTCATGGTAACGTTCTAAACTATAGAGAGTGATTGATTCTAGGAATCCTACAGATTTCCAAATAATAGATAGATAATTGACATCCTACCGATTTCAAAAGATAGAGAGAGAAGTTTGGAGACTACTGAATGATCGATTGGGAACTATGGGTTTCTCTGCTATGACGGTAGCGGAGCTATCGGTTCTTTGTTCTTCTTCGATTTTAAGCAAACTAGGAAAATCTGAACATTATCCTAGATTTTTAAGTATTAAAATGTATACGTTGTTTTGGGATTGATATAAGGTTTCTAAGGTACTAGGATTTTCCAGCGAATCTTGAGAATATCCTTCAATCTCTAAAACTTTCAACCATTGTAGTCCGTAAACCTACTTGCTCAAGGTTGGTTGTGCACCAGCCCGACCATAAATAACATAGGCGTACGTTCCAGGTTTATTTAGGGTATGACTTATGTATGGTACTAACCTTAGTTGAGGCGTTTGACCTAAAGGGTTGAGTTGGTAGTTTTAGTTGGAGGTATGTTAGAATTTTTCTAAGTGTTCTCATCGTGGGTCAAAGTATATATATATATATATATATATATATATATATATATATATATGTATATATATATATATATATATATATATATATATATATATATATATTCGTGTTCCATCTTTATATTTGAATACAAGGTTTTTACAGATAATAATAGTACATGATTTGCCTAAACAGATAGTCATATACTACAACAACAAGTAAACTAGGTCACCTGTAATCCAATCCGTCTTGAATGTCTATTTAGTGATTTCCTAACGATACATGTAGTTTTGAGGGTCAACACAAGGTTGGTAAGAGTTACAGGTTTTCTGCTAACAACAGTAATACTTTCAATAAGTCTAAAAAGTATTTTCTTTGTATGTATAATAATAGTTTAAACAGCTTTTGCAATGAGTCTTTGAAAGCCAAACACTACTAGAAAAACAACATTTTACGATCCGCAATGTGTGTCATAAAACGCTCAGACGACGCGCAATGCGTGTCAAGGAAGGCCCTGTCATAACGAGAGACGACACACTTTTGCTCGTCGTCTATTTATGACGCGCATTTATGACACACATTTACGGCGTGAAGTTATGACACACAATGCGTATCAAGGAAGGCCCTGTCATAAAGGAAGACGACACTCATTTGCGTGTCGTTACCTTACGACGCACGTGTTTATGACACACAATGCGTATCAAGGAAGCCCCTGTCATAAATGAAGATGACACGCTTTTGCGTGTCATAAACTTCAGTAACCATTTACGATGCGTCTTTACGATACTCATTTACGCATAATACAAAAATATGTAAACAAATATATACTAAAACAATCAATTTCATCCAATAACATCATGTCAAAAAATTGTAATACATTGATATTAAGGGGATCTAAATGTACATTGTTATTAAGAGGTTTCCCTAACTATATAACCTAAGACTACATTGCTATTAAGGGACACCTTCTGCAATGTAATGCTATTCAAACTAAGAAGAGATATACAAAGATGATAAACATCAAATTCCAACTAAGTAGAGTTGCATCTTGCCTTTCATAATTCTTTAAGACTAATAAAACCCTGCTCCGATAATTCTTGTGATCTGATCAAATAAAAGTCAAAATTAATATGCTAATATAATTATTACAAGAATCAAACATGGAATGTTCGTTGCAGATAATAACTCAAGCTAATAGACAATCCTTGATCCTATGAACTAGAGAGTATATCATCACAATTCCATCTAACACCACCCATGAGAACCCGTAAAGCTACTCAACCAACATATCATGTCATGTAATGTATTTTTTGTTAGTATATTTTCATGTAGAAAAAAGTGAAGTAAATAAAAAATAGTTAGTACCAATAATGATGTATTATTTCCAGTGAGATGGAGCTTGTAGACTATCCCGTATTGAAATATGAAGAACCTCAAGCACAAGATAGTTTCAAGTACACGCCCTCTGATTGTCTGGATATGTGACTGTTCACATCACATCCCAATCATCAAAATCTTATAAGATAGATTCATGAATTTGGAAAAAGAAAATAAAATAACTGGAATCATGCTTCTGCCATTCGAAGTCCCAGAGTCGGACAGTTGTGTTACCTGAACCACTAGCTAACTATTGTCCATCAGGAAGTATAAATACAATTTCCAAGGGGTAGAATCGTCCAGGTTGCTTCTGAAGTTTCTTTTGTTCCCATGCCTCCCATGAATTCCCAATCTTTTCAAGAAACAACCGTTTAAATTCTTGAATTGCATCAGACTTACTCAATTCTTCCAACTTATTTCCTCCAATTTTTTCATTGCTAATTCGACCCCACTTCCGGAACACATTGCAGCCTGGCCCTTTATCTTCTTCAATGATCTGGAGGATATAATAACTTCATGCATAAAAGACGAAGAAGAACACAAGTGAAAAGGATGATTTATACATAAATAATACATGTTTTTTTGTAAGAATCACCTGTTGATGCCAGTTGATAAGTCAAACAAGCTCAAAGTTGTGTTATAATGCTTTTTCCATGCTTCAAAATATGTCAAGAATCTTGCAAACCAGATGCTTCATGGACTGCACTTCGTTCTTTAACTTTACAGTCACCATGTTTTTTGACTCTTCAGTGGCTTCAATTTTATACAAATCAAAACGAAGTTTCTTCTGTTTTGAAAAGCAGCCAACCAGTTTCTTCAGTGGCAACACAGATTCAAGAATAAAACTGACAAAACTACCCTTTTTCTTCTCATAACTTTTTTATGACAAAAAAGTACACATGAAGGGTATAATTGTAATTTTAATGACAAAGTTATGTGATGTGAAAGAAAGTACTACATTGCTTTCTTTATCTCAGCATTCAGATTATCCGGTACTCCACTTACCACCAAGCAACTTGTGAATTGTGCACAATTTGACACTCCATTTCATAAATAAAAGAAGGTGTTATGTCTTATCTATGTACGATAAACTTACTTGATCGGTGTTGTAGACGATGTACTCATTATACATCAACTCGTATGCCTTAACATTTTGATGATACCGACTTTCCACATGGCACAACAACATCATCCTTCCACTTAATGTGTTCAGACTCATTAGGGATCTTCTTCCCAAGTCGTTTAGTCGGGTCCTTTCCTTTTGGAGGTTTGTCCATATACTATAAATATAAAAAGGACAAATAAATAAGTTAATTACTAAAACACAAAATTTATTTCACATATAAGCAAGGTTGTAAAAAACGCTCGACGTTAGCTAGTCGGTGGACTGGGGTCAAAGGATTAATCGTCTAGGCGGAGATTAATCGGGGACCATTAATTGCTAATTTGTTGAATTTTAAAAAATTAAATATGACTAATATCATATCAAAGTTCGTAAATACCACTAATATGATAACAAAATAGGTTCATATGATTAATACAACACTAATCATGCCTAAAATAGTTTCCATTGAGATTAAACTTCTTCAAAATATTAAAATTTCATCGTTTTATAATGTTGCACTCATTATGTATTCAGGGATTAATCGCTAGACGTCCTCTAATCGGTCGAGTAGTGCCTAGGGATTAATCGGGACCTAGTCGGGATTTTTACAACAGTACATATAAATATAACTGACCTTGGCCTTCTTAAGCTCATACATCTCTCCCAAAGCAACTTCACTTAATATCATTAAGCCCACCGAATTTTTCTTGTCAGTAAACAATATTGAGCACTTTTGCTCACCAAATCAGCAAAATAAATCCCTTTTCCAAACTACAAACATAGAAAAAGATTACTCTCTTCATATATATATATATATATATATATATATATATATATATATACATAGAGAGAGAGAGAGAGAGAGAGAGAGAGGACCAACCTTTCAGCATAATGTCAAAAGACCAAAAAGCCCAAGAAACTGCAAGTCAAAAAAAGCCACACCGTATGTGTAGGGGCATGTGTACTTTGGAGATACTTCTCAACTAACTAGTAATCTTCACTATCATGAGGAAGTGGGACCATTTCACATTGAAGCTTTTTATATTTATCATCGAGTGAATCATCATTGTCCACATCAAACCTTACTAGCCTTGAAGCTATTTTAATATCCTGAAGTGCTTCCAACATTTTGACCTACAAATGTAACAAGAATGAATGTCATCATATTGATCCTAACAGATCAATGAATTCTTAAAAATATAAACAAATTGTCACCGGTACCTTACTAGCCTTGAAGCTATTTTAATATCCTGGCTCAGTTTCCTCTTTCAATAGATTCTGAAGCTCTGTTAGTACTTCAAAACCTTCAAGAAAAACAAACATATTTTTCTTGTAAAATTAATACAGAAAAGATGCACAGATTATAATGACATCATACTGAAATTCATTAGCAATTTTCCTTACCTTTATAGATATTACTTTTGCTAAGATGCACAGATTATGTTTCGACGTTAAACAACATCTTCATCAACTCTTCTGACGCTGGAGCAAGTTGGCTTTGAGCATCTTTATTTCATTTCTTCTTTAAGAACACATTTAGCAGGAGCTTGTTTTGATTTTATGTAAACAGACCCTACTGTACCTAGGACATACCTGTAAATCAGAGAGATAAATTAGTGTAACCAATAAGAATGTAGGATTTAAATAACTTATAGTTGTATTGTCACTTATAGTTAGACTCAAACTAGACAGGTCAAAGCCATAATTCCATGCAATCACAACCATAAACTAAGCCAGTCAAGATATACAACTAAGAAGTAAGAACATGCCAAAAATGTAAAGCAATTGAAAATCGGCAGTGGGCAGCTGCTTGCTTTCCTTTCCTTTCCTTTGTCTGTTTTTGGTTTTGTATTGTAGGTTGCTGTTATGCTATTCTTTTTTGGACCCCCTTTAAATGTGTTGTTGATATGATCCCCAGCCCCTTCCCCCTCTCCCTCCCCGGGTGGCTGCTGGTTTATCTTCTCTTCTCTTGTCTTGTTTTGGTGAGATATGTCATGTGTAATTTAGCAAGTAGTACATAGGAAGATTTTGTTGAATGATCATGAGCGATTGAGTGTATAAGCAAGCTGCGTCCCTGCCTAGCTAAAATAGTTTTTTTTTTCTTTTTGTATGTTGGATGTAAAATGGATGCTGATATGCTACATGAATTTTTTAAAGAGTTACAATTCTACTGATACTGTATGCACTTTACAGGTACCTAGCTCCTTACACTTTACACTTTATATCTTGCCATGTATTATATACATTATATCAAGCAACAATAGTACAAAACAAAACATGAATAACTGGAATAAGTTTGCTCACAGTCAAGACCGGAGTTTCTAAATTGTTAAACATATTTGTTTTTAATATTTTTTTACCACTGATATGTGTTTAATCAGTAACTGTTTCTCTTAATTTTAAGAGAATAATTTTTTTCTTATAGTTTTGGACTAGAGTGTTCATGGTTACACAATTAAATTCATAAAATCATCACTTGTATAACAACTATAGAAAGGTGGCCCATGCTAGTTCTTGAGAAATGGAAGGTACTGCTTATTAATGGTGGCTTGAACCACTACACAAGTCAAATTTCAGTTATGGTTATTTCTATATCCTGGCAGTTGGCAGCCAAGAGATAATGCATATTTCCCAAAATAATTTTATTTTGCATCCAACATTGACTATGTGTGTTTTGATGTGTGGATGAAGTGTCAGGGACACCGACAGGACATATATAGAAAGTGTTCACTCATATCTTGGTGATAGATTTGCAACAATAAGTCAATCACCGATAAATGACCAAACAGTTTAAGTAGCTTATAAATGTTTGAATCCAGAGTTTCTTTTCACTGATCATTATCAACTTTGTTACAGTCATTTAATTTATTGATGGATGCTACTAAAACACGAGTGGGTGCATGCAATGGCATTGTCTGTACACATCCAGACCCCCAAAGAACTTACCAAGTTATTGTGCTGCCACACGTGCAATGGGTATTGGAAAAGATAGAAATTTGCCATGGAAGTTACCTTCAGACCTCAAAATTTTCAAAGATGTCAACATGACAACATCAGATCCAATGAATAAGAATGCTATTATAATGGGAAGAAAAACATGGGAAAGCTTACCTTTAGAACACAAGCCACTCTACTGGTCATCATTTAGCTCTCTCATGTCACTGTCTGAATATGGCTCCAAGTTTGCTTCTGCAGCAAAGTAGCATACATGGGCCCCAATAATTTGGATCATTTTTTGTAAGTAATCAAAAAATCTAATCCAAATATCAATATCATATTCATAGTTCTAAATACCTGCATCACCCATTTCTTTCCGCAAACAATCACCAAGATGAATAATAACCAACAGATTCAAGTTTTTACTGGATTTAAGATGAATAAGAACCAATAAGTTAACTTGTTTTGAATAAACTAATAATCATATAAATCTTAAAATCTTACCAACCAAAACACTCATAGCACCGACTTTTCTCATTACACTGGACAATCATAATATGGTAACGAGCACCATGACAACCACTACAACTACCATCTGTGCAACCATAACAACCGGAGCAAGAAGGAAAGCATACCTTAGTTCAATCCGAGCTAGGGCTTGTAAGAATGACAAAAATGTTGGATTAGGTGTCTAAGTTCATAACTATTTCTGGAATGTACTTGACCCAGTTGGCATGGTCCATTTGGTTGCATGGCATTGCAACACTTGGATAGATTAAATGAGAGAAAGGACACTTAAGGTTTATTAATATATTATAAGTTCTAATATATTAATAATATTATTTAATTAGTATTGATCAAGAATTAATTTAATATTAATTTGGTGATCTAAAGGAGACTAATTAAATATATGGGGTTGATTGTGTAAATCATCCATTCTTCTATAGTGGGCTAATGATCTATGGTTTATTGGATTGGGCTAAAACCCATAAGGTGCTCCATGGATAGTCCATGGAGGTTACAAAACCATGGATCATGGAATATGGAAAGCCATGTCAATTAGGGTTTACATGTTGAAACCCTACTTGTGACACAACTATAAAAAGACCCCATGGCTAGCAAAATCGGCACCAAAAAAAAGTAAGAACAAGAGGGCTAGCCAATTTTGAGTGTTAGTGAACTTCTCTCGAGGTTATTCCAAGAGTTGTGGTGTTGTGTGAGGCATTTGAGGCATCACACCTAAGGTGCTAGGCTCACAAGGTTCTCAAGGAATCCAATCAACAAAAAGGTATGTTCTTCTACCAGCTTTTATGTTTCAAAGTTCCCCATGCCATGCTAGTTAGGTTAAGAACCTTGGAAAATCAAATTTGCATGTATCTTAGTAAAACATAGATCCAAGGTTTCTAGGGTTTCATGTACACCTTAGGAGTGTTAGAATGCTCAAAACCCTTCAGTGGTATCAAAGCCTAGGCTTGTTTTCTTGATACTTGATGCAAATTGTTGAAAAGACTCAAGATTTCTGCATTCTGCTGAGTGAACTCGCCGAGTCCATGGGGGGACTCGACGAGTCCATGTATAAATTCATCCTACTCGTCGAGTAGGTTCTTGCACTCGACGAGTAGGAGGCCCTGAATGCAGATTTTTGAATTTTGCTGCTGGAAATGGACTAGAAACATTACCCTAAACTATTTTGGTCTTATAAAACTTGTTTTATATGGTGTAATGGTTATGCTAATCCATTTTCAATAGCTATTATCAAAATTTCAAGTCTTATATGTGTTTATTATGATTCTTGAAATTGTTGATATGAATGTTCATGAACTTATGAGTATGGTAGATCATAGGAATTATTTTGTTAGTTTAATTCTTGATCTTGATGTGTTTTAATGGAAATCCATAATTTGTTCTCAAGTTATGGATTACCAAAAGTCTTTCTTTTAAAGTCCATTAATAAACACATAGGTTACATCAAATGAAAAACCTCTCATTTTAATAAACCAATAACTCATAAGTTATGAAAGATGAAAAGCTTTGAAAGTTACAAAACTTGCACTCAAGTTTTGGAACATGTAAAGTCACTTTAAAAAAACTTTAGTTCCAACCCCTAGAATTTTAAAATTTAAAATTCAGCCTATAGATATATATATATATATATATATTATATATAAGATATATATATATATATATATATATAATATATATATATATATATATATATATATATATATATATATA